CAATGTAAACTCTGCGGTACTACGATTAAGTACAACAGCTCTACGAGTTCGCTAAGACATCACCTTCATAACGTGCATGCAACCGTGTTGCAGGGAGGAAGTCTGAATCTGTCGCCTTCCTCAGGGATGATTTAATTTGTGTTAAAGTTCTATATTGGAAGTTTCCAGGTCTAGTAATCTTACTGTTACCTTTCTCAGACTGAGGGGGATTATAAGTGCTGCTGCTAATGTTTCAAGTGTGTCATATAAGCAGTTTATATACATGTAGTTTATATACAATTATTTTTTATGTATTTTAATTTTCTGTGCATTATTTAGTTTGTTAAACTACATAAATGGCATTATCTGTGCCGTATCCCAACTGTTACAATAAAACATAAATTGAGCAAATTTTTGTTCAGTATGCAAGCAATATTTTGCTTTTTATGTTAAAGACACAATTGATACCGTGGGAAATTTACATTCTCAGGAAAATGGCCGCTTATAAGTTAATCGTTAATCGATCGATAAGGTCAATCAACTAATGATTAATGAATTAAGGCTTAAGCGATAATTTTAGGGATGCACCGATATGAAAATTTATGCCGATACTGATAATTCTTTATATCTGAAAGCCGATAACCGATATATCGGCCGATAAACTTAAATCCAAATTTTTATCTAATTTTGAGACCCTGATTACAAAAACAAAAGTCACACAATTAAATCCACGTCCCAAGCACACAATTATAATGATCTTCTTATTATAGTGTTGTATGGCCGATATGACAGATTTGCGTTGCTCATGTTGTCCCGAACCAGATTTTAATTTTTTGAAGAGATTTCAATCATATTTCAAGAAATTCAAAAACATAAACAGTTCTCAACAAGTGTCTCAGCTGAAGGGAATAATACATTATTATCAGTTTTAATATATCGGCCACATTTTCTTACCAGGCCGATAACGATAACATTAAAAATGAACATATATCGGCCGATACCGATATGCTGGCCGATATATCGTGCATCCCTAGATAATTTGCATCCCAAGTTCAGATTTCTGTAATGGGCATTTATGTACATTTATAAACAATATTTGCATGACACATTTTCATATTTAAACACAGCATTTCCAAAAACTAGTAATTCAAAGCAAGTGTCTTTATGTACTGTAATTAATCAACTGGGGAAAGTATGGTGATACAGTATATTAGTTCAAATTTTTACCCAGTTCACCTGTGGTGTCTTGAAATATATAGCACAAGCACAAGCACACAGTTAAAGGGTTAGTTCACCCAAAAATGAAAATTAAGTCATTAATTACTCACCCCCATGCTGTACCAACCCCGTAAGACCTTCGTTCGTCTTCGGAACACAAATGAAGATATTTTTGATTCAATTTGAGAGCTGTATAACTACCACATTGGCTCCTAAGGGACTGCCTCTTGACGGCCCAGAAAGTCAATGAAGAAAATGTTTAAATATCCCAAGTGACTACCGTGGCTCAACTATATGTTTATCAAGCGACGCAAATAATTTTTGTGCGAAAAAACAAACAAAAATAACGAGTTTATTCGACTATTTCTTTTCTTCCTTGTAGGCCAGAAACGAGAGTTCCTTAGATTTCCACGACGCATGCGCGAGAACTGATCTGAAGTAGTGTAAGCAGATCGCAAATCTCGCGCATGCGTCGTGGAAATCTAAGGAAATCTCGTTTCTGGCCTACAAGGAAGAAAAGAAATAGTCGAATAAACTCGTTATTTTTGTTTGTTTTTTCGCACAAAAAGTATTCGCGTCGCTTGATAAACATATAGTTGAGCCACGGTAGTCACTTGGGATATTTAAACATTTTCTTCATTGACTTTTTGGGCCGTCAAGAGGCAGTCCCTTAGGAGCCAATGTGGTAGTTATACAGCTCTCAAATTGAATCAAAAATATCTTCATTTGTGTTCCGAAGACGAACGAAGGTCTTACGGGGTTGGTACAGCATGGGGGTGAGTAATTAATGACTTAATTTTCATTTTTGGGTGAACTAACCCTTTAATGTAATAAACTACACCTGTGGATATTCAATCTACTAGGAGGCCTGTGCGAATGTGAAGGGAAGAAAGCTCCAGCATCATTTTTTTGTAGACTCCACTTTTTGATATTTTATATCTAATAATAAAGTCACAGTTCAAATTGTCTGAAGTACTTTTCTGTACCACTGTTTTTGGAAGTCTTACAATCTCCTAAGCATCACAGAATCATCTGAGGAAAACATACTCACAAACAAATAAAACACTGTTTTTCAACCATCTACGAGACAAACCTAAATGTTCAAAATGTCTCTGATGTATAGGAGACAAGACTGTGGCTATCATCTGACCTTAACAAAGTGTGGCATCCAATTTCTGTTAACTAACTTTGTTCCATACATGACAGTCAGACACATTGCTAAATGCACAGTAAATATATGTACTTAATTAAAATCTAGACCCCAGGAGCAATACGTTTCTGCCACATCACAGGAATTTGCATTATGTCTCACTATGCACATCAATGTAACTGGTTAATGACTAAGATGCCATACTCACTTTATAGACAACTCATTCTCCAAAGATGATATTTTATGTTTTGCCCTCTGAAGTGCACACTGAACATCCCGTGCCATGCTTCTGATATTCATGTATGTGTTAGTGTGTGTAGAAAGCTGGCGTTTTGTAACTGGTGGACACCGTATACTTCATCTCAGTTTGCACATCTCATGCATATGCAAGCAACATGATCCATGTGAGAAGACAATGGCTGTGTCTCAAAACCACATCCAGCAGGAGTAACTGTGGACGCAAGGGGAAGCTGTCTGAAAGAGATGTCCAGGCACTAACCCAGATTGAATCCAGAAAACATAAAACCACAGCTGCCGTACTCACTGTAGAAATAAATGTGCACTTCAACTCTCATGTTTGTCTGGTGCTCCACAGAGTCCATATTCATGGATTGCCAAACCTTTGGTCACTCATGCTAATGCCAAATGTTGGTTTCAATGGTGCCAACAGTGCAAATCTTGGGCTTTGGACAATGTAAAACGTATTGTTCTCTGATGAGTCCACTTTCACTGTCTTTCCCAGATCAGTGGGAGTTACAGTGTGGAGAAGCACAAAGAGATTTAACACCCGGACTGTTGCTGCCCAGAGTGATCAGTGATGGTTTGGGCTGCAATATCATTCATGACATTCCCTACTGTGCTTGATGGACGTTACCGAACCATTCTGGAGGACCATGTGCACCCAATGGTTCAAACATTGTACCCTGAAGGGGGTGGAGAGTACCAGTGTGATAATGCACCAAAACACACAGCAAGACTTGTGACAGAATGGTTTGATGACCATGAAAGTGAAGTTAAACATCTCCCATGACCTGTTCAGTCTTCAGATCTAAATACTTTTGAGCCACTTTGAGGTGTTTTGGAGGAGAGAGACAGAAAACGTTTTCCTCCACCAGCATCACAGTGACCTGACCGCTGTTCTGGAAGAGGAATGGCTTAAAATCCCTCTGGCCACTGTGAAGGACTTCCATCTGTCATTCCCAAGACGAACTGATGCTGTTTGGCCGCAAAAGGAGGCCCTACACCATACTAATCAATTATTGTGGTCTAAGGTGTTTGTTTCATTTATCATATGTGTGTTAATCTAGGACATTTGTGCAACATCTAAATACCATGGTGTATTAATTTATGATGATAATCATTTAGATACATTGGGTTTATAATATGGGCCAATGATACGTAAGGATGTATGATATTACTTTTTTAACATTTAATCTCAATGTGCCATTTTTATAAAAAAAAAAGGTAAAAATGTGTTATAATAATAACATTCATAAAGGTGAAAAATGGTCAATACATGGTAACAGTGATATTGATTTAGTGGACAAAAGTGTATGAAATAATATTTTTAAAGGAAATATGTTTATATAAACAATAAATTAAATAAACAATAAAACAACAACAAAAACAATCATACAATGTATAAGGCTTTTAATAGAGCCTAAAACCCAATTCCATGTCACTGACCCATGCATCAAAGTAGCCTACAATATAATTATTACCAAGCACAAGTACCGAAAACCGCAGTCTAGATAGGCAGCACACTAAGTGTTGAGACACGGCACTTGAATCTATCTAAACCGATCCAAAATGCGACGCACAAGTCCACTTGTATCAAAGTAACACATGGCTAAAGCCGGTTTCTTCATTTCAAGACAAGCCGTAACTAGTCAAAGAAAACGTTTCCACGTATGCTTTCACGTTGCTGCCTGGCGTCAAAATACAAACATTGGTTTTATCCTCTCCAAATTCATTAGTCATTCAGTGAAAGCATGAATAATAATCCAATGAGACATCGATAGGAGTTGTCACAGAAATATGGACCGGTTTCGGACTTACCATGATAAAAGCGCTATGGGGTTGGCTGCTGGTCGAACAGGATTGTTTCCTAAAAGTTTTGGAGGGGAACTTCCTACTACAATGTGCGCAGTCAAGCTTCATTCCGGCCCAGCGGGACAGACAGTGCTGCGTTTGACCACTAGAGGACACTAGCTCACCGGCTCGATCCATCCATCCATCCATCGATCTATCTATCTATCTATCTATCTATCTATCTATCTATCTATCTATCTATCTATCTATCTATCTATCTATCTATCTATCTATCTATCTATCTATCTATCTATCTATCTATCTATCTATCTATCTATCTATCTATCTATCCTATAGGCTACAACATACAACATATTTTTTTAAATAGCCTGTATAAAAACAATTATTTAACTTGGCAAAAAGCATGCCGTCTTCATTCTGTAAAATAATACACGTGAAAATGCATTCCTTTCAGCTTCAAAAAGTTTGAAACGCTGCTATAATTAAAAGTTGAGTTTTTGTACCGGAGTGACGTGCAGTGTCGCCACGTGACCTAGAGGGGGCGCTTCTTCCCGACTCTGCGACTCCTCAGATGTTTCCTGCTGTTTTTCGAAATCGAGCTACTTGACTTGAGCGATGATCACTGTGTTCTCACGAGCTCTTTGAGGATTTATCAAAACAATGAGAAGAATGCCATTTATACCGGGTTAACTGCCGAAACATGATGTATTAAATGCAAGAGGGTGATTTTGAAGCCTTGAAGTCTATGAATATAATGGGATTTACGAACACCTAGTTAATTCATTAACTTTAATCAGCGCTGTTCAAACTTTCCCAAGGTGAAGGAGAAATCTCAGCTCTTTAGCAGAAGATGTTATAATGGGGCTTTCTCTTTGGATTCTGCTCTTGTTACTGCACTTCAATGAGGGAATTCATGGTAAGTTTGTTGAACTAATCGCAGTTTGTGAACGCAGTGTTTCATTAAACTCATCAGTGTTTATGTGTTGACGTGGACACAATGTTTCAAGATAAACATCGATTTACAAATGTAAATTGGACGTCACAAGCATAAAGTTCTAATAATCCTCTTTTATAAGCTTTAGCATAATGATTATACCTAATTTTGTTATTTCCAGAGGATAGACAGCATTTGAGAATACAGATTCAAAACTAATGGAGCCCGATCATGTTTAAACCAATCAGCATCTCTGGTTTTGTTGTTGTTGTGGTCGAGGGTGATCATATATATATATTTTTTTAAGATATATTCTATCCTGGATTGCAGGCTGAGAAGGAACTTGATATCGTCTTCCAAAAAATATACTTTCACTTAAATTAAAGAGTCACACTTTTTATTTGTATAGTTATTTAACCAAATATACTTTTGAAGTGGAATTAAAATAATGCGAAAACAAGCAGCCATTTGTCTCTATTATTCTGTTACTGCTGATTGAAGAAGTGTCATGATAGATAGATTAGATAGATAGATAGATAGATAGATGACAGACAGACAGACAGCTTTGGGGATGGGTACGGGTTGACCGAATTCTGACCCCGGCAAATTATTGCAAAAAAGAACCGATACGAATACCGGATCGATAAGCAGTATTGGTAAAAGTAGTAGCTAAACCTTAACGATATATATACCCATCCCTAGACAGGTAGCCTATCCTATTGATTGTGGAGTAGGCTACATCATAGACAGGACACTGTAGTTTCCTCATTTACCTCTTTCCTGGGTAATGAATGTGATGTTTGTTGCAGATGTTCTGGCCAGCTGTGTGTTGTTGTCTGTCATCTTTCAGACATCTGCAGCATGCATGACGTCTGCTGTCCACAATCAATGCTTGCACACTGACAGAGATGCCAGAAATGTTCACAATAGATGCCTTAGAAAAATGCACAAAAGCCTGTTAAAGGAAAAATGAAACTTATTTGCAATTTTTTTTTGGGTGTAGGGACATATTGCTCATATCTTGTGTTGTTGTTGTTGTTGTCTGTCTTTTTTTTTTCTTTTTTTATAGGCAACATTTAGAGACAAAAAGCTACAAACAAAGCATGTTTTGTAAATTATTTTGTTTGTTAAAGGGATACTCCACCGTTTTTTTTTCATATTAAACTATGTTATTCCCTTAACTAAGACGAGTTGATACATGCCTCTGTTGTCTCAATCGCTCTGGCGTGCGAGACTCTTTGATCGCACTTAACTAGCCCAGATCATTCAATATGGGCCAAGCAGAGAAGTGACCAAACACCTCCACGTTTTCCATTTTTAAATACAGTTACACGAGTAGTGTAACTCGACCAAGAATGGTGACACAAAATAAAATGTTGTACTTTTCTAAGTGTGTAAAGTGGATAACAATAATGTATGGCGGAAAACCACAGCAAGCACTTGGGAGCACTTTCGACTCCGTCCAGAGTGAAAAATCCTCTCCAGAGTGATGATATTAATGCACCGAGTCCATAGATATGTGCCGAGTCGAAGTGCTCCCAATCACTTGCTGTGGTATTCCGTAAAATACTTTTCTGTGTATTTAACATGTTACAAAGTCAAATTCTAGCTTCCGGCCAAATGGCCATACACAGTCTACTTGCACCTAATGCGCAACTTGTGACGTCAGAAGTAGTGTAGTGCATCATTGCGTAGTGTCAGCAGTATGACGTTACTCGCACAAGTCGACTTAGACTTAAGTCGAATCTTTGTGTTTGTTTGGCCAGAAGAAAGTTATTTTACTTTATAAAGTTTTAAATATGGATATTTTTCTTACACAAACTCATTGCTTCGCTTTAGGAGGCCTATGTTAAAGGGTTAGTTCACCCAAAAATGAAAATTCTGTCAGTATTTACTCACCCTCATGTTGTTCCAACCCCGTAAGACCTTCGTTCATCTTCAGAACACAAATTAAGATATTTAAGATATTAAGATCGCTCCTGCATACAGTCCGTAGGCTTCTTGAGGGACTGGCTCTTGCTGTCCCCGAAAAGTAATTAAAGACATCGTTAAAATAGTCCAAGTGACTACAGGGGCTCAATCTTAAGTTTATCAAACGACGAGAACACTTTTGTGCGCAAAAAACAACAAAAATAACGACTTTATTTCAACTATTCACTTCCTTCTCCATAAGCCTGTAGTCAGTTAACGTAGTGTGATTGCGTAGAGCTACGTCACACGTAGGCTCACTATTGGCCGACGCTGGTCATGTGTGTGTGATGCTGTGTGACGTACAATAACAGAAGCTTACGCTATTAAACTAGTAACCTGACTCGCGCAGAGGGAGAAATAAACGAATAGTTGAAATAAAGTCGTTATTTTTGTTGTTTTTTTGCGCACAAAAGTGTTCTCGTCGTTTGATAAACTTAAGATTGAGCCCCTGTAGTCACTTGGACTATTTTAACAATGTCTTTTATGACTTTTCGGGGACAGCAGGAGCCAGTCCCTCAAGAAGCCTATGGACTGTATGCAGGAGCGATCTTAATATCTTAAATATCTTAATTTGTGTTCCGAAGATGAACGAAGGTCTTACGGGGTTGGAACAACATGAGGGTGAGTAAATACTGACAGAATTTTCATTTTTGGGTGAACTAACCCTTTAACCCCCCGGAGCCGTGTGGACTTCGTTATGATGGATAGATGCACTTTTATGGACTTTAAAACAGAAACTGTAGTTTTAAAATGTGGCTTTTACTCAATTTCAGACTGATCTCATGAAGTAACGTTTGTATGACACGCCAATTCGTATTTCCATTTTTGACTTGCTATCAAGGAGCATAATCCCCTTTTTTTAGCGTGCCGTGTTTATGAACGCCGTTGACTTAACGTTATTACTGTATATAAATGTATGACTTACCTCAACCCCATCCCTAAACCTAACCGTCACTGGGGTTAATGGCATTTATGACTGTTCCCTTACCATCCTAGAGAAAAAAAAGATCGCTCCCCAGATGTAGACGTACATTTTGCTTCGTTTCGCGCAGAGATTTGACGGCGTGTACAGACACGCGGAATCACTCGGACGTTAATGGCGTAGACATACACGCATACACGTGGATACACGCGGATAGCTCAAAATGCGTAGACATAACACGCCACTTGACTCGAAAGTGGCGTGTATGTTTACGCAAAAGTCATGATGTCATGTTGCCAATTTAGTAGACTGGAAAGGTCCCGTCGAGTAACTTACATTGTATCACTCGAACCTGGGCGAATTGTATGCCAGTCACAAAGTTAACAAACGTGATCATCATCCAACATGATGGCATATAGGCTTTTCTATTTTTATTGTATAGAAGTATAATAGTAGTTAGTTTATCTCTCTTACTCATGTCCCGCTAAATCACATCTGCTGTTCTGCAACAGAGCAACAAGTTACCAGATGGTAAGCCTAGTTAAATTGTGTGTCCTCCAGGGGTACGGTTCACCAAAAACCCTTCCAACCAAACGGTGACTCAGGGTAACATGGCTCGTCTGGGCTGTGCCTTTGAGGGTTTGAGTGAACCTGAGATCATCTGGATGAAGGATGGAGAGAAGATCTACAGCACTGATCAGATGTACATCACACTGGATGCACATCACTGGGAGACCTTCCACAGGTAGGACGGTGTGAACCTGGAACTGTGACCTAGTCCTAGTCCCTGATGTTGTTCAGAATTGTTTTTGCCAGTGGTCAGAAATTAAACAGAACTGGCTGAAACTATTTGCAGGGAAGAACTGAAACCTTAGACGATATGAAGGGGGTGATGAAACTGATTAAAATACATTGTCATATGATATGCCAAATCTCAGATTTGATAGTGTGCAGTTATCAAGGTCGTTTACTAAGGCAACTGCCACTATCAGTACTGTTTCCAAAACTAGTGTTAGAGATTTGAACACATAACACACACAAAGTATTTCTTGTTGAGAAAAGGTGTGTCAAGTGATCAGGTTTTTTATGCAAGGCAGGCAATAAAACATTCAGAATCCAATAGATGTACATTAAAGGTAGGGTAGGCAATTGCAGACTGGCTAGCAATAGCAAGCTAGCTTTGAAAGCATGAGATCCCACCCTCCCTTTATAGCTTCTCCAAAGCCACGCCTCCTTCAAAACACATGAACACACACAGCCAGAGCAGAGTCTGCAAAGTGTCACTAGACGAGTCTCAAAGCACATAATATTACAATAATAATGTAAATGTGCACAACTTAAAGTACTTGTAGCAACGAACTGCTGCAGATTCATTTCACTGATGAGTGTTGACATAGAAACACATCTGAGTTTGAGGGCATAAACAGCTCCAGGTAGAACATCACGGGTTGCCATCCTGTAATTTCGGTTTCGAGATGGCGTGAATAAGCTCATTGTTTTGGTTCAGGAGGAACTGTAAAAGGCGGCTGCTGTTTGTGGTGCTCGATGACTGTCTGTCTAGCATGGAACACGAAAAAAGGGTTCATTGGGGTTCTATATATGAAGCATAGGGTTCTTTACTCAACTCCAAAGAACCCTTTATGCTAAAAAAGGTTCTATAGACCATTTCACAGGATGTAAACAACACTGGTCCAGAAGCACTTCCTGTTTCAGTTTGTAACTGTTTTCTTTATTTCACATGTAAAGAAAACATCTTAAAGATGTTTGTTTAACTTTTTGATTCAGTTTTAAATGTTCTGTTGGTTGTATTTTATCCCAGCTTTTATGTAGTGTTAAAAAACTGAAACAGGAAGTGCTTCTGGACCAGTGTTGTTTACATCTTGTGAAATGGTCTATAATGACAAGAAAGAACCCTTTTGGCACAAAGGTTCTTTATAGGCTATTATTCATTCATATATTACATTATCCTGCAACATTTTGTGTAATTAAGTTATTGTTTATTAAACTGTTGTAGTAACTTAATATCACATTTTAATCATGCTGATTTTTGGACGAGAAGAACTAAAATGCCACTCTTCGTGTGATATTGATTAACTACATAAAATGATATAAATATATACATTTTCTAACCCCCATATCTTGAATTGTGTGATCATTCACATGCATTCATAAATACATTTTAGGGTCTTGATTTTTGTCAATAATATGAAATATTTAATCCGGAAAGGACAAAACAAATGATAATGAATGAACCCAAAAGGTTCCGTATAGAACCTTTTTTCCTGGTTACATAGAACCCAAAAGGGTTCTTATTATTGAACCCTTAGGGGTCCAGATACGTAGCACTGATGGAACCTTTTAAGGTTCTCTATAGGTTTCTTCAAAGAGTGTGATGACGTGTGATGTCTGAGTGAGCAGGATAAGCAAAGGGATGGAAGTATGGAAGAACATGTGACAGGCAGGTATTGTAGGACATCCTATCATTACATTCAGACCGAATGCAATGATTGGACGAACATTTTTTGGTCCTATGTGTACCACGGAAGATACATGTGCATTTTAAGTTTTAGACCACTTCTTATATGGATTGCTATTGCCTACCCTAAAAATTGCCTACCCTATCTTTAAAGGAGGACACCAGAATGTCATAACAGAGACTTTTGGGTAGACTAAAAGGGAGCTTGTCCAGTTGTCATGGCTGTGGCCTTGAGGTTGTGGCTCAGTGTCTCTATCAGTATCATTTTTTTTATCATCACAGTGTGGGCGCAGAGCTAAAACAACAGTTGTTCGTGCTTTTTTTGTTGGATTTCACTGTAACTCTAAAATCATATGATCACATTCATTACTGGCTGTATGGTAAAAGACACCAGGGTGAATACACTTTATATAGGACTTTTGTATCAAGTCTAAAATGTTTGTTACTGTAGCCAGTTTCTGACCTTCAAAGTTATACAAAATTATTTCAACCGTTAGTAAGTTAATTCTTGAGCACAATATGAAATTGGATTTGAATACTATGTTTTGTGAGTGAACAGTGTGTCAGGTTCTTGTTTATTTGTTTATTGATTCCTGAACTTAACCAGGATAGTTGGATTCAAAAGTTTGCGGGCAGTAATACTTTGTTTTATAAGAAATTGTACTTTTATTCAGAAGGGATTAGACAGTAAAGACACTTTCAATGTTTCTATTCATAGTAGAACTGAAAAAAAAACCCTCAAAAATATTAAGGAGCTCAACAGTTTTCACAACTATTATTATTATTATTGTTAATTATTGATGATAAGAAATGTTTCTTGAGCAGCACATCATCATATTAGATTGATTTCTGACTGAAGACTGGATACTGAAAAATGCTGCTGAAAAATCAGATTCGCATCACAGGAATAAATTACATTTTAGAAATAGCCTATGCTAAAATGGAAAACAGAGAAAACCTCAAACGTTTAAACAGTAGTGTAGCAGCTTTTAAAACTGCATTTCACATGAAGACCACAATAAATAAATACAGATAGGCTATATAAATCAAAATGTATAAAACTAAAACTTATACACTGTTAAAAAATATTGGTTTAACTTAAAAAATTAAGTAACCTGGTTGCCTTAAAATTTTAAGTTGATTGAACTGGAAAAAGTGAGTTAATACAATGAAGGAGATTGATTTAATCATCAGAAACTCAAAATAATAAGTTATCTGAACTAAATAAATTATTTAAGTTGATTTGACAAACGAAAAAATGTTGTGATAACAAATCTTGAAAATATTTTTTTCCAAGATCATTTACAGCTTTCTGTTGAGCACTCAGGTAAATGCATCCCCTATAATGCAGATGTAATGCAGACATTAGTGAGCTTGGTTTACTGAATGCTGTCAAGGCTGATAATCTCTTGCACGTGTCGTGACGCAGTCCGGTTGCCTAGATCTGTTTTAGGCCATTCTTAGACTGAACACAGTTTGGGTGGAAATTTGCTTTTGAAAGTGCTGCCTTGCTGTAAGATTAGGCTAAAAAGAGGATAACAAATGGTAGAGAGAGAAACTGGCTTAGTGAATTATATAGACGTCACGTTTTCCTCGCTGCATGCTGCCTACATAATCTATAAATGACTCATTTCACCTGGTGAGTTGTAAACAAATGTATACGTCATGCAATTCTGCTATGTGAATGCAATCCATGGCGTTGTTTGCGCAACTGACCTTTGTCTACATAAATCTTAGCACTCTTAGACTAAATGGCTCTCTTCTAGTTGTAAAACTTTGAGACTGATGTGTCATTATTCCATGATCATTATTTCACAAAGTTTGGGGATTTGCTACTTTTCTTAGTCTTCTGTCATGTCAAGTTAAATTACATTTGTTTAGATCTTTTTTTACAAATACATATTGTTTCCAACTAGCATCGCGCTAATATACAGGAATAAAAGAGTAATAAGGCTTTTCATTTATCGAAAGCAATACAGTTTCAGCTGTAAAACAGCTCTAAAAAGATAATAGTGTCATTATTCAGTTTAGTTAAAAAAAACAATGTGAATGCTGCAAATATGTGAACAATTGCATTTGAGCTTGAGGAAAGTTTTTAAAGGGCACCTATTATGCCCCTTTTTACAAGATGTAATATTGGTCTCGGGTGTCCCCAGAATGTATTTGTGAAGTTTCAGCTCAAAATACCCCACAGTTAATTTATTATAACCATTTGAAAATGTCATTTTTGGAGCCTGTTTAAAAATTAGCTGTTTTGGGCTATACGACCTTAAATGCAAATGACTGCATATCCCCGCCCTGCCTTCGGATGAGGGCGTCACTTGCATACCTATGGCAGTCGGTAAGCAGAAGGCCTGAGAGAGTGAGAGAGACCCGCTGTCATTCAGCTGTACATGTTTGAATCGCAATATATAAATAGTCTCTGATCAGACCCAGATGACGAAGAGACTCCGGCAGAATAAACACAAATGAGAATGGACCAGGACGTCTCGGTATGGATATTTGATACATTTATGTTCTTATAAAGTTGTAATCGCGTCCCCTTTGAAATTATGGATGTGCAACACACACACACAGACACACACAAACACTAACGTTGGCACAATTTTTTGAAACTACATACACATACTGTGATAAACTTCGCTACGTACAAGCGAAATTACATTTATGTTTACTTGTCATACGGGTGCTTCTGTGGCAAATGTGAGAAGATGGCTAACTTACAGAACAACAACATATATGCAGTTTTTAATACAATATCTTTAAAAATATATATATTTATAAACATGTGGTTTCACACTATACAAACAAGGTTTAAATTATATACACAGACATCCTACGACGACAACAACTTTAGATGCATTTGTTGTTGAATTGGCTGACATGGACTGAAATGACTATTTGCTCAAAAATCATAAAATACACTTACTGTTACTGGAGGTGTCGGTGGATTGCAAACAGCATAAACTTATTTACGAAGGAAAGGCGCCACTTAAACTTCCAAAATACAATACATCCACAGTGTTTTCAGTGGCTCTAATGTCGGAAATAAATGAAAACTACTATGTGTGTCATTATTACATCCCATCCCACAACAGAACACTTATGATTCTAGGAGACATTACCGGCTGTGACTGTCGTTGAAACTAAAGAGGATGGTGTACACCGAGGGCGGGGTCTATGCCACAACCACACTGTCAATGAAACCCCTTGCTCAATTCTACGTCACAAAGCGCTGAATCTTAGAACAGCTCGTTCTGGGACAGTGCATATGATTTATTGAGATTGTAAAAAAACATTGAGTGGATTTTTATCATTCTAGGGTGGTTTTGCTCACACACTGCCAACACACATTTATGTTCAAACACCATGTAAAAGTGAATTTTTAATAATAGGTGCCCTTTAAAAGTTATGCCAATATTGTGTTACTCACTAAAAAAAATCCCTAAATATTGTGTTATATTTCCTAAAATCGTAAATAAACTACTTAATTTCACTTTTTTTATGGAAAGTAATGCATTGCGTTACATTACTTATACATTACTTTTTCTAATGTTTCATGGTGTTTTCACAGCTCGCACAGCGCCTCTGCACTAACTTTCGATTTCTCTTAACATGGGGATGGGATTCGTGGGGAAAAAAAGTAACTTGCGTTACTTGTTTGAAAAGTAACTCAGATATTTTGTTGTAAATTTAAAAGTTACTTTACTAGTTACTTGAAAAAAAAGCAATCATTACTTTTTCTCATGTTACTTGTAATGCGACCCGGCCCCAACAGTAAATGTTATCTTGGTTTCCATCAACATTAGAGTGTGTAAATGACACAATTTTCATTTATGGTTGATTTAAAGGAGTAGTTCCCTTTCGAAAAAAACTTTTGCTGATAATTTACTCACCCCCATGTCATCCAAGATGTCCATGTCTTTCTTTCTTCGGTGGAAAAGAAATTAAGGTTTTTGAGGAAAACATTCCAGCATTTTTCTTCAAATAATGAACTTCACTGGGAACCAAACGGTTCAAGGTCCAAAAGACACTTTCAGTACAAACTGTTCAAAGGGCTTTGAATGGTTTCAGACGATGAATACGGGTCTTATCAAGTCAAACAATCGCTCATTTAATAAAAAAATAACAAAGTTTAAGTTTTATTAAGCTCAAATTGCTCGTCTTGCTCTGTTCTGTGACGCACGTTTGTGACTCTCCTGTTCAAACTCGTTCAGTTTGATGATTCATTTGGTTCATTCAACGAACTAAACGAACGAATTGACTTGGAAAAAGTTTTGTTCATTTTGATGAACGAGTTCGAACAGGAGAGTCACGAACGTGCATCACAGAACAGAGCAAGGCGACCATTTGAGCTTATAAAACTTTTTTAAAAAGCGATCGTTTCGCTTGATGAGACCCTTATTTATCGTCTAGAATCGTTTAAAGCCCTTTGAACAGTTCGCAGTTTGTACTAAAAGTCTCATTTGGACCTTGAACCGTTTGGTTCCCATTGAAGTCCATTATATGGAGAAAAATCCTGGAATGTTTTCATCAAAAACCTTAATTTCTTTTCGACTAAAGAAAGAAAGACATGGACATTTTGGATGACATGGGGGTGAGGAAATTATCAGCAAAAGTTTTTTGAAAAGTGAACTACTCCTTTAACCCTTTGAAGGGTGTCTAATCTGATTGTTTCTTTGTCGTCAGTGTGAAATCCGTGCAGCAACAAGATGCTGGGAAGTACTGGTGTGAAGTCGAATATCACGGCACGATCATTTCCTCTGAGCCAGCTTGGATCACAGTAGAAGGTTATTTTCTTCTTCTGAATCCTTGTAGTCTATTTTTCAAATAATATCTTATTCCTTTAATGCAAATATTACACTTTTTTTCCTCCTACTGCTCATATTTTAGGTGTGCCTCATTTTGTGGAGGAACAAGAGGATGTAGCTGTATTTGCAGGGGAGCCGTTCAACCTGACATGTGCTGCTTCAGGTCCTCCAGAACCTGTGGTGGTGTTATGGTGGCTGGGAGACCAACAGAATGGGGATTTCATGCCCTCCCCCTCAGTTCTCTTAGTTAAAGGTGAGAGACACCAAGGGCCGGTCCCAATACCCACACTTGCGGCCTTTGCATTCGACCACTTGTCTACTTGCATTACATCTTTTTAGTATTTGTTCAAATGGGGTTCGAAGACTGCAATTGTGTGTAGAACTTTTGATTAGCCGATGGGACACACTTACAACATAGTGTTATTAAAATGTTTTGTAAGTGCGTTTTATTTGCACATTTTGATTACTTTAAAGCTACACTGTGTAACTCTCTTAGTTTATTCTTAGCTAAAAACACTTAGTTCTTTCAAAAATCTATGTGCTCATTAATGTATATTTACTTCGTTCAAGTAATAAAGTATTCTCGTGAGTGTATAATATGCCATTGAAAATACATACGGGTAAGGGGTTCTAATGTCGGTCGCCATGTTGCCCCTCCATCTTGAAAGTACATTAGCCAAAGAGGGACATACCCATTAATTCAAGCTTCGCCTTTCGCGTTTACGTTTGAGTTAACACTCATGGACGAGGTCGAACTGGAAGCCATGTTAATCTTGGACTACATTGGCCACCGTAGGAGTTAAAACGAAATCGGAATTGAGAGGAACAGAAACTAATATTCCCTGGATGGTCATATACCTTTTCACCGCTAGATGGGGGTAAAAATCACACAGTGTAGCTTTAAGGGGGCTTACACACTGGGCACGTTTGGTGTGGTCCGAGAGCGATTGTTCCCGATCCCGCAGCGCTGGTCTGGTTTCACTCATTAGATTCTGTAAAATCCTGGTGCTTTTGTCCTCATCTTACGTCATCACAAATGTGCACTGCAATATATTGTGTTTGGTATTAATTTCATGCTATTATGCGCAGCAGAGTGAACGACACTTGGTTGTGCTGTATGTGCTTCACATAAAGGAGGCTTTCTACAGCTTGCAAACAGACTTTTGAGGAGACAGTGGATTGCGCGCTATTCATTTGAGCTTTGATTGAACTCTGCGTGATGACACTAAAAGAAAGAACACTACATATGCTTTGTTGTATTAGTGACGTCATCATCAGCTAAAATGCATGCGCAGGTTACTTTACTTCCTGAACAAGTGTGCACCCAAGTGTGAGTTGTTTTCACATTCCCAGCTTCCCAATGCTATTTGAGATTGGCATTGTGTTTGATTATAGTATTCAGAATATAATGTGACACAAAAACAAGTATATAATCCTCTCCTCTATTAAATATTCCAAGAACATTTGTTTGCTCACAACAGCAAACAGTTAATGATTCAGTGTATGAATCACATTATGAAACATCATGTGAAACATCTCAGATTCCTATATCCTCTTTCAAATCTTCTGTGAGGTGATTTAGTAGGCAGATAAAATATATAACTGTTGCTTTCAGTGGATTGGGTGAGTTTGCAGTGAGTTTCTAGTAGGGCAAGTTTGTGCTTACATGTAAATAGTGTAGAGTTGTGAGAGATTTTCAGCAACATATTTTTGGTCTCATTTGAACTATCAAAGTGATTTGTTTTTCTCAAACCCTCACAGTTTTTTGACAGAAGAACCAACAAAATATCTTTTTAACGAAAATACATTTTGAACTGTTTGAGGTGTCTGATACGTTGTTTAAATTTCTCATCATGTTCTTGTGGAGAAAAAGCCTCCTGTTACTGGATAATGTCAAGGCCAGTTTCCCGCCTTGCCTTTACTTTTTGTAACTGGATCTCTTGTTCTGTGAGGAAATGCATTATAGTAATCAATGCTCCCAGTGTGGTAAAGCCCAGTAAAGCAAACTTTCCATTTTAACAGCCTACGCTTAGAAATCATTGAGTCATTGAGTCCATGTGTTCCTATTATCAGCAACAGAAATGAGTGTGACTCACTCAGAGTTTAAAACCGTTTTTTTTTTTGCTCTGTCATTATATAAAACAATGTGGCAGCTGTTAAGTCCTTGTTCATGAGGTGAGATGAGACATGAGGAGGTTTTTTTTTTGTCTATTCTGTTTGATTTATATATAAAGTATAGAAAAAAAATTCTGATTCATTATTTTTTGCAGCTCACTTAGAAAATTTCATGAATATAATGAAATGATAAATATATATTTATATTTTATTAAGTATAAGTATTAAGTATGCTTTTAATGGATGTTTTGTATTAAAATGGAAATGTACCGGTATTTTTTTTTTCTAAAAAAGAAGTAAAACTGCCAGTACATGGCACAGTAAATGTCTAAATGTGTACAAGTAATTGATTCAGTCATTCGGTTTGTTCAAATGGTTGATTCTTCAGAAATTATGTATGAACTTCTTATGAATGGGCATTGAATAGTTGGTTCACCCGACTGATTTACTTAAGATTGATTCATTTATTGTCAATAGATTCACCCGATTGATTCTATAGGCTATACAAACATTACACATTACAGTGAGTTGTTGCCCTGCTTAATGTACGTCACCAATCAACAATGAAATATAAGATTAACTGTATATATATATAGTATTTTAAACTATATTTATTTTAATAGTCATAAAAATGATGTTATTTGTTTTAATGCAAATATACATTCTCCCTTTTTTCCCCTTTTGATTGTAAGGTGAAATGTTCTTGCCATACTTCATATTTCTCCCATTTAATATGCATTTTTGCAAACTTAATTGCAGGTGAAGCACTGACCACAGCGATTTGTTTTTTATTTGCTCAACCAGGTGTAAATGAGAGTGTAAAGTTTTACTGTGAGGCCAAGAACGCTCGAGGCATCTCTGTGTCACGCACAGGCACGGTGCACATTAAAGGTAAGACATACCACAGTGTTTTTTACTTCCCACTCACACAACTTTTGTTGCTGTAGTTCAGCATAATTGCATTCCAAAAAAAATAAAAAATAGTGGTTGTTTTTTGTTTTGACAGTAATCTATCATAAACAGGCATCCATACAAATACAACCACAAAAGGCGTGTAGATTAGAAAGAAGCTAAATATGTTGTTGTCATAATGTGCTTCTTTAAATGTGATTGTTATGTGCAGTCCGTCCTGATTCCCCCCGGGATGTCAAGGTACATCATGTGTCTGATCTTAATATAACCGTAACATGGAGTCCAGGTTTCACAGGGCACTCACAGCTTTCCAGCTGCACTATACAGGTATGCTACTACATAGTGTTTGATATTATTGAATTCCTTTTTCTGTTCATTTCCTCGTGTTCTTCCTATGGCCGTACAGTCTTAGTGCTTGATTGTTAAAGGAATAGTTCACCACAAAATGAAAATAATTTATTTACCCTCTTGTCATTCCAAACCCTCTTCCTGTGTAACACATGGCAGATGTTAGGGTCAGGAAAACATGTTTTACATTGCTCACAGTTCGTATGGTCTACTTTTAACCAGACCCTCACAAGGGCCAGTTGCATAAACTTAGCCACTTTGTCAAGACTGTGTCTTAAAGGGATACTCCACTTTTTTTGGAAATAGGCTAATTTTACCACTCCCCCAGAGTTAAACAGTTGAGTTTTACCATTTTCGAATCCATTCAGCCGATTTTCTGATATTTAGAAGAATATCAGTAACCAGACAGTTGGTCTCATTGACTACCATAGTAGGAAAAAATATATACTATGGAAGTCAATGAGACCAGAAACTGTCTGGTTACTGATATTCTTCTAAATATTAGAAAATCGTCTGAATGGATTCGAAACCGGTAAAACCCAACTGTTTAACTCTGAGGGAGTTGTAAAATGAGCTTATTTACAAGAAAAGTGAAGTATCCCTTTAAGAACTAAATTGATCAACTATAAATTAGTCAAGAAGTAATCAGTCTTACGTTTCTCATTTTTTAAACAAAAATGAATATCTGCTTTTAATCCATTTCTAGGTGTCAAAGGGATCTGGAAAGAAGGTGAAACTTCCTGATCTGGATGTTGTGGTTCCTCCCTTCCAGCATGTGTTTGGGGGGCTCCACAGTTACTCAAATTACAGTGTGAGAATCCGGTGTGATAATGAGGTGGGCTCTTCCCCCTTCTCTCCCTGGGTGGACTTTCACACTCCAGAGGCAGGTATGTGAAACTTTAGATAGGGTAATGATGCTATGCATGTGGTTTCTTTCTATTAGTCAAATTAACATAAATGGCTTTTTAGCTTGAACAGCATTGCTGTGGATGAAATTACAGGCATTTGCATTTGCATTCATCCATTTTGGCCAGACACTTTTACCCAAAGCAGCTTACATTGTATTCAAAGTAAACATTTGATCAGCTCTTGCATTCCCTAGGAATCGAACCCATGACCTTGGCATAGCTAGTTCCATGCTCTACTGTTTGAGTTTCAGAATGGTAAGGATATAAGTAGACTGTTAGCTTAGGGTTCAGGTTAGTAGAACAAGTTGAAATGTACTTGCGAAGTTCATTATAGTCAATCAAATGTCTGTTGGGGAGCATCAAAATAAAGTGTTAGCAGATATTAAGCTAGTTGACATGTAATTGAAGTATTCCTAATAGTTAATGGAATGGATAAAGTGGACTATCGGAATAAAGTCTTCCCACTTTTTTTACTTTATTTTATTTTATTTTACTTTTTTCATGTGGAATTTGATATGGTCATCCCATACTATCTGTCTGAATGAAGAGTGTTGAGGTACAAAAAAAGAGAGGAAGGAAGGAGCTTTTGCAGAATCCAGATCCAGCTCAAAAGAAGCTTGTTCTCCAAAACATGGTTGCTGCATACGTCACTAAATGACTTGGTTTGGATCAAGGAGTGCTAATTAAAGATGACATTTAATTACAAACAGTGGTAGTTTAAAGTTCTGTGAAGGACAGTCATGAGCGACTTATGTTTATGAAATTCCTTTGGAAATAAAACCGTTTGCCGTTCAAACCAAAGTTTTGGTGGGTTGGAAGTAAACAAACAGCCCAGAGAGAGGGGATTCTGGCCAGATGCCTAGGGCAAGGGGTTTGGAAGAGGAGGAGCTGATGGTGGGTTTGAGGAGCAGAAGGGGTTTCTGAAGTTGTCCCTGTTTGTATGTTTGTAAACTGGTAGCACTGGCAGCAGTCCAGATTCCAGGCTGAGTGGTACAATGCGCCATTGTGCGTGTCCCCAATCCATATCAATGCACTGCTGCCACATACAGAGTCCAATATTCTGCCACCTACTGGCCAAAGCAGTCATTGGAACTATTTGGATTTAAATGGATTTGGTTAACTTGTGCTTTTTTTTTTTTTCATTTTTATCCACTATAAATAAGAGTGTATTATACTCCTCTCCACTTAAAATCCATTCCACAGATTCCAAGGTTTTTTTTTTTTTTCTTCCAAATCAGTGGAAAAAATGTGAACAAATTCCATCTGGGCATGGCTGTGACATCATTTATTGTCGTGCAGTACATTTGTCTGTACACTGGCAATTATGGCTCCCTTTTTTTTACTGTTTTCATATCTTTCATACACAGCACCATCAGCAGCTCCAAAGAACTTTACCTTTGAACTCAGTGAGCAGCAGCTCACTCTGTCCTGGGCGGCACTGGAACAGGAGGAGCTTTGTGGAAGGTTACTGGCTTATAAAGTGCAGTGGAACCAGGGAGGAGAGAATCAGGTACATCATTATAAAGGAAGACACACTTACAGATGAAATTTCGCAACACTGACGCTGTTATTGAACTGGATAATGACATTATTGTCTTCTGTAGAGATGCTTTACAACTGAAAATGAACAAAGTTGTTTCCTGACTGATGAATTTTGGAACATTTCACACCAAGAATAAAAATGTTCAGTTTATTATAAGCACATGCTGCAGTTATGTCGTCTGCCACTTTAAATACACAGCTTTTTAAAGCAGGATGGAGTCTGATTGGCTGTCCTATCCTTCTCCTGTGTCTTTATCATTACAGTTCTCCACTTTTCATATAGAATTAGAATGATTATTAAAAGTTTAGTTATCATTACAGTTATTGTCTTTGACGTGTCTCTGGTGTGAACTGGCCAGTTTATTACTGTGAAGCTGCTTTGTAATTATCTGTGTTGTATGAAGAACTATAAATAAATGCGACTTGACTTGAAATATGCTTGTTCTTATAAATAATTATTCATCTTTTTCCTGTTACTGATAAGAGTAAAGAGAGCTACACTAACCACACTTAAAGGGATAGTTCACCCTAAAAAAACTCACCCTTGTGTTGTTCCAGACCCGTAAGACTTTGACGCACCTTTGGAACACAAATTAATATATTTTTAATAAAATTTGATCGATTACTGTTCCTCCATTGAGACAGCTATGTAACTGACACTTTGGCGCTTCAAAAAGATCATAAAGAGTAAAGACGTCATAAAACTAATCTAACTAAAAAGCACAATCATGTCTCTTCAGGAAATGTAGACTAAACCACTCAATTCATATGGAATAGTTTTCCGATCTCAATCAACTTTTTGAAGCGTCAATCTCTGTGTAGCTGTCAATGGAGAGTACAGAACTGGCTCAGATTTTATAAAAAAATATATCTTCATTTGTCTTCTGACTTTTGGGTTTGGAACGACATGAGAGTGAGTAAATGATGACAGAATTAACATTTTTGAGTGAACTAACCCTTTAACCTTTCTGTCGCTATAGGATCCCTTACTGTTTAAGGACAACATTGCCCGTCTCTCGGGTGCTGGGCGATTCTTTAACGCCACCTTCCAAGTTGCTGCGTGCACAAACGCAGGATGTGGCCCATGGAGTCAGACTGTTCTTGTGATGCCCATGTCAGGTTTGTCCACTCTCATTGGTGTCCACCTCCTGCCTCTCTGAAATCGGGATTTCTGCAGTCACTGCAGCTTTTTTTGTGACAGCATTTTCTCTTAATGCAGCGCTCTAATAGCCCGTGTGTGTTCATTCGCCGCTCATTATGCAGGAATGGCGTAGCGTCAGGCACTTTTGAGCAGAAGTGGTGATTAACACTCTCATTGTGTCCTTTCAGCCATGCAGGCTCAGACCCAGAGGGGCCACATATGGGTAGGGCTTCTTTTCGGCCTTCTTGTGGCCACCATGGTGGGACTCCTGTTGATTGTACTGGTACGCAACAGAGGCAAAGAGACCCAGTTTGGGTATGTGTTTACTTATGTGTTTACTTTATTACACCCTATTTGCTGCCCAAACCACACATCCTGTCTGAACTAGGACTGAAATCTGGTCTCTTAGACTGTGATCTGTCCTTTCACAGTCAAGTTTGCTCAAAATCAATGAAGACTGGACATACAATTTGTAGTCCAAGAACTTGCTCCATTTTTGCTTTTGTTGGGCAGTTTGGATGATTAGTTTTAGATGAATTTCCAAAATGTCTTTTAAAACAGTGAAATATGGGTCATTTAGTCACATTTTGGTTTGTTTGCAGGTCTGCATTCGCAGCTCCAGGAACAGAAGTTCCGGTTTCCTTTACAGCCGCCAGGTCCTTCAACAGGCAGTTCCCTGAGCTCCCCGAAACCACATGTACGTACACGCATTACTGCACCATCATTGAAATCCTACTGTACTTGTTTTACAGGAAATTATGAATTTTGACTCTGTATCCCTCTAGTGGACAGTCTAGGAATCAGCAGTGATTTGAAGGCCAAGTTACAGGATGTTCTCATCTCTGAAAGGCTCTTAACTCTGGGACGAATGCTTGGAAAAGGTACATTATGACCCAGATGCTCATTTTAGTCTCTTTTTGTTGGGACGAGACCTAAAGTGATGTGTACCAGTGTACCTACTTTGTGTACCAGTGATTTAAATGATTGAAATGATTGATTTCTGTCTTAAACCTCACAGTGCACATCCTTTTTTGAGATAATTTTCTGCATCTCAGAAGGATAAAATTCTTAAAGTCACCTTCTATTCAATTATTTTATTACTTAAAACTCATCTTTGTTCACCAAAATTACATTTTTAAATGTTTTTTTTTCTTGAAAAAAATGTCTTCATGCCTTAAAATAGCTTGAGTGTAAATCTACATCCTTTCTTCATGTAGTATATGTGGTTCTATGAATTTGCAAATTAGCCCCGCCTCCACTCACTCACACCAGTTCCACTCATTTACAAT